TCCAACGGCCTAGGCTGGATTTGAAATAACAGCAGAAAATTGAAAGGTTTACAGATGACTCTCTGCCTGTGCCTGCCCTGGTTTTAGCCCTTAGACTGATGCTTCAGTACTAAATAATTCCAGCAGAAGTGTGTTGTATTGCTTTCATTTTAAAGAACAGAATGGGTGCTTTCTTGGAGATTTGCAGGAGTGCCATTGCACTTGCTGCCATTGCAGGCACACACGTGGCTTGTGCTGCAGCTCCCCTGACGGGCACTGCTGATGCGTGAGGAAGGAAACCTTGATCATTTCAACTCCTTGACTGTTCTAACGCAAAGGATGGCTTTATCCCTTCTGAAGAGATCTGGAAACAGAGAAAGATTGTTAACATTGAATTAGAAGATATATTGGAAATAATCAGGATGTAATAAAAGACAAAATGTCCAAAGCCATATTGATAGCTCTTTTTTCTTTCCTTTTTTCTTTTTTTCCCCCCATTTCTTTTAGTAGTATAGGGGAGGGAGGGGATGAAAGAAACATTATCTAAGCCTCTTTTTACCTTCTACCCCTCTTGAATAAAGAATGACTGGAAGAACTGCTCTGCTGCAAATGGTGTCAGGTTCTGTGCATCAGTGTGAATTCAGTTCCCAAGGCTTATTTGTAGGACTCAGCATTTTTGTAACAGCCACACACAAAGAGGAAAGCAAGCAAAAAACCCCTAAATTTAGCCCCTTAGACCTTTTATTTTCCAGCTAGAGACATAAGTAAGCTAGATATAAGTGCCTGTATGTCAGTATTGCATGCTGAGGACCCTTAGGACTGAAAGTTTCTGCAGGTTCCATTTCTTTAATAATGGGAAGCCTTCCTGTGAGGAAGATAGCACAGAGATTATAAAACTGATTGTTTTGTGAAGGGGAGTTCAGATTCTGAAATTGGTGCATATAAGAAAGACATGGTTGTAGTGTCAGATGCTGCTTTATTGTAGCACATGGAGTAGATGAGAACTGACCTGTAACACTTCTAATCCAAGCACAGTGGCTGTTTGGAACTGGGAAGAACTGCTGAAGTTTAAAACAAGTAAAAAAACATAGCAGAGGTCTTAGGTCTTAATCTCCTATGTAGGGAGCAGAGAGCAGGTCTGACGGGAATCTGTGTAATCTGGCAGTGCATAATAAAGAGAAAGTACTGAGAAGTGGTTGTTTCCTGTCCTCTGCCTGTTCCCTACCCATGCCCATGATATCTTCCCTCTCAGTTGTTACAGTTTCAGTGTCCAGAAGATCACTTGCCACTCCCTGGAGCCCTGAGGTTATTTCCTGTATAGATCAGACCATGAAGGCATGAGGACTCCTGCTGTCCTTCCTTGTGTATACCACACTGAATCAATGGAAAAGCTATTAGAAGATACTGTGTCACTTCCCCCCCCCCCCCCCCCTTTTTTTTTCCTTTTTATCAAGTAGTTCTGCACAGGAAGAAATTCCACAGAGCCAGCCTTCCAAACTGCAGTTTAGAATTTGTTTGGCAGGTGCTCCCCAACCCCAGCTAGGCCAATGCCCCAGAATAAGAGTTCAGGCCTCCCTGCACTGCCCAGGCCCTGAACTGGCAGCACATCCTGGAGTGTCTGCTGGCATCTGCCCTCTTGTTCCTCAGGAACAGGCTGAGCACTCCCACTGTGCTGCTCTTTTCCCTCTTCATCTTTTTCAGATATTGAGGACAGTTGTGTGGATCACATCCTGTACTTTCTTACCTTCCATCCATCACCCCTGGTTTTGGTGACCTCCCTGTTTCATCTGCTGCGTTTAGGCAGTGGTTTGATGATGCTGAGCTCCAGCAAAACTCCAGTTTATACTGGGCAGGGCCTGCTGCAGACTGTGTTGTCTGACCACACACTCATGGAGTTGTGCAAAGGCCGCTGCACTTTGTGTCATCTGGTCTCATGAGAAATTGGGAGATGGAGCATTTCTCTTGGGGTTTGTGTGCTTTTGAAATTGGGCTGGTTCATGATCCTGCCCACAGCCTATCATGACATGCTGTGACTCAGCTGAGCCCTGAGGGAACTTTAGGGCAGTGACTGGGGGCCCCTAAGGGCAAAGCTGCTCTTCCCTCAAACCACTGGAAAACTGATCTGAAGTTCTGGGTTTGTTCAGAAGTGCTTCTGCACTTTGTGCAATGTCAGGGAACTTGGTTGAAGTCTTATCAAAGCTATTGCAGCAATAGAAGAACAGTTGCTCTTTGGCTCAGGAAGATGGCAAAATACCCATTTAGGTTCCTTGCAAGTTTGTGATATTTAATCACAAGTCTAAAATATAGACTGTGTTTCTAAATTGTCACCTAAATTTTGCAGAAATGGGTGCTTTCAAACCTACATGGCTTTCATTTTACAAGTGCCTGTGTCTCTAAAATGTCTTAAAAGGTACAGATCTGCCTTCCAGTTTTAGACATAAAGATAAGATTTAATTTATTTTTGAAGTTCAGAAGAGAAATCCAAAGGTTAACAGTTGGTTGGTACATCAGATGTTACTTGGTATGTGTATGTGCTCTTTATTTTTGAATTTCGCTTTCTCTGCTCCTCCAGGTGTCATCTTGACATGAGTGCATTCAATCTTGGCACGGAGTGTACAAAACTTACTTGAAGTGTGGAGAAAAGAAACTGCAGCATCCTTGTGTGCATCCAAATGCTTGTAAAAGCTCTTCAGAGAGGGAGAATTGAATTCTTTGAAACAATTTTCATAAGCACTTGGTACAAACCTGAAAAATAGCATCTCTGTGCACTGTGCAAGCACAATAGACACAGATGATAGTGCAGTGTGCACTGTGCAAGCACAATAGACACAGATGATAGTGCAGTTACATTAGTATAGAGAATGGGGATGTCTGGTCAGTAGCACAGGATAGAGGAGAAGCTTTTGGAAGCGTCCTGCTCAGAAGTGGCATTAATCCAGTAATATCCAAACAATGAACACTGTAAGGCCTGGTTAGTCCTGGGGCTGTTTGGGCTTTCTCGTGGCACACATAATTTAATGAACTTTTGAAGAGACCTCTAGGCAACAGCCCAAACTCAGAAGGGCAGAGGGGAAAATTCTGATGGACAGTCCTACTGAGCTAGAGCACAGAGGCTGTGAAGGAAAGGCTGCTGAATGGGCTGATGGCTGAAAGGAGCAAAGCAAGCACACTTGGACTCACTAGCGGGCTCTTTGTCCAAATTGGAGCCATCTCTCTCTTTAGGAAGTTCTTTCTGTTGGAAATGAGGCCAGAGCCAGGCTGGAGCAGGAAGGAAGAGGCAGACAGTGATCCCAAAAGGGTGTGCTCTGGGTGCAGAATGACAGCCGTGCAGAAGGAGCTTGGCTGCCAGGGCAGTGACCTTGGCCAGAGCGCTCCTGCAGCCCCCGGCTCTGCTGGAATCTGGTGCCGTGCGGCAGCTCTGGAGCCCGGCTGAGGGCCCCGGGTGGGCACAGTGTGGCTGCACATCAGCTGCAGGGCCAGCTGCCCTCCTGAGCCCACTTGTCCCCTCCTGCAGCCTTCCTGTGCTTCACAGAAAAACAAAAATGTGCCCTCAGCAGAGGAGCACTTGTCACCCGTCTCCTGTTCCCAGCCTGGAAGACAAGTATTTACCCTCCTTCCAGTCATTCCCAAGCCCTTCCCCAGCATTGTATGCTACAGGCCTTTCCTGCTACATTACTTTGTCTGCTCTGCTGAAAGGGATGCTGAAGCAGCAAAGAGGTGTAAGATTTTTTTACCCAGTGATGTAAATTGTCTGTATTGAAAAAACAGAATTTGCATCTTCCTTCCTGTGACCTTTCAAAAATATGTTTGCCTGTATTGAAGGTGCCTGTGACACCATTTGTGGCTTAACTTTGCTATTGGATGGAAATAGTTTCCTGCTCTGATTCATAGGTTCCTAATGACAGGTTACATGTTAATTCTTGTTTTCAGCAATTATCATGCAGTTGTGTTTTCACTGGAACCTAATAGCAAATGTGAGTGGAAAGAGCTTCAGGCTAAGGCCTAATAGTCATTAATGATACTTTTTATTTGCCTGTCTGAAAACAGTTGTTGTGGGCCTTTTCTAACATAAATACATCAGAGGTGGTTGTTCTTTGCTTGTTTTTCATTCTGTTTCACTACATTTAACGATGCTTTATATAGCATCAGTTTTGTTGCTGCTCCATCATCACCATGATTATTACCATAGGGCATACCATATCAAACTCAGATCACAGCTGCATTGTGCAGGAGCTGTACAAATGTGCAGTAAAGGGAGTCTCTGTCACAAAGTGTTAGTGGTGTCTGGAGAGCTGAGGCAGAGAGGAACAGGCACGATTCAGCAATGTGCCCCTACTGCACAAAGCTCAGTTGTGGTGTTGGGTACAGAGCAGTGCTTCAGACAGGAGAGGACACACTTCCTGTGCAGAGGTTGCAGGATCAGGAAGGATGAGTGCTTGCTGCCCTTCTAGAGATCAGTGCCTTTAAAATAAACTGGCCTTGCAAGTGACAGAAAAATGTTCAAGCATCTAGATAGCGAGAGGTCCCTTTCTTACCTTGGTGGGGTCAGAAGTATGTGTTCTATTTAAGAAGCACATTCAGAGTAATGAGCAAAAGTCCTCATTGTTTCAAATCTCACTTAATTTACAGGATTTGCACAGCTCCCACCTGGAAGTCTCTTCTCCCAGCAGCTGGGGGCAGGTGGGAGAGTTATTGTCCTTAGGAGGGGGATTCTCTGTTTAAAAGTTTTGCAAACACATAAAAAAAATTTGCTGTTTCCCATCCAGAAGTGGCTAAGATAAATCCCTCCTCACTGTCATTCAAGGCCCTTCCAGCTCTAAGGGACCAATTGTTTCTGTATTCCTCAGTCTAACACGTTGGACAGCCCAGAGAAGGTGAAAATGTCATGATGGATTCTCATCCTTTGGCTGGAGAAGGTTTTCTCATCTGGAGCTCATCTCTGAGCCCCAGAGCACGTTGGTGCCAGCTGCTAGCAGGACGATGGTGCCTCGCTGACTTTGCTCTCTGCTCTTTCTCCACAGCTCCTGTACGACAACCCCAAGGCCCGTCAGGAAGTCGAGTATCACTGGCGAGCCTCGGGGTGTCCTCACATTGTCCATGTCCTGGATGTGTATGAGAACATCCATAATGGAAAGAGATGCCTGCTCATTGTCATGGAATGGTATGGACCAGGCACTGCCTTTGGAGGCATGGAGGGAGTAGGAGAATGTGTTGGCTTAGGTGGCAGTTGGGAGATTTCTCAGCAGCACAATTTTGGTTTGTACAGGAAATGTCTTGTTCCCTTTATGGAACTGATAAGGAAATGTGCAGCTGCTCCAGCCATCCTGTGTGCTGGAAGAATGAGGAACCTTTATCAGAAAATAAACTTCCATTGTGCTCCATAGCAATTGTCCTCATTAAAGAATTGACTGATTAATACACCTTTGAAAGATGTCTCTACCAATACATTCTGCTTTAGTTGTGATCAGCTTCCAAGTTCAGATGTAAATCCAATGATCCAATGTGATCTGTCTTGTCATAGCTATTTTGACTCCAACTTTCCCTATTCTCTCCCTAGTCTCCAATACCACAGTTATTGTCCTTTTCACTGAGGACAAATTAATAATTCTTTTAGGTGTCTTTGCTTCTTTTTTTTTCCTTCCTCTCCATCCTTTACATGAAACAAGATTATTGTCAGCCTTCCAGTGCCAGCATATCTGACTTCCCATCTTTGTGTGCCATATTCCCTGTGACAGGGTACATTAAACTGAAAGCATCAAAATTCCCTGGTCTTACTTTGTTTTCTATTTATGCCATATTAGAATGGCTTTCTGCATTGATGTGAGTGAGTGTGATGTTTGGGAAGCACTGACATAGGAGGCACATTGTAATCTTTATCTGTTCCTGCTGTGGTTCCATGAGATTATATGGATGCACAGTCAGGTGTTAATTTTGTCCTTTCTGCTAACATAAGGTGGGGGTTTTTGTGTTCTTTGTTTCAGCATGGAAGGAGGAGAGCTGTTTAGCAGGATCCAGGAGAGAGGAGACCAAGCTTTCACTGAGAGAGGTAAAACATTGCAAGTTCAATTTTAAAGTTTGTGAAAGATTTCTTTCTTTCTTCTCCATTTCTCTGTCCCCTGTTTCCTTTTAGGAATTTTTCTTTGATTTTAGCTATGGTGGTATTTGGTGTTGTTATTATTGTTATTTATCCCACTGTGTGTGAAGAGTGATTTTGAAAAGTTCCCGAGAACCAGGAATTATGAGAATTGGCCAAGTTCAGGCAAAATGTGGAAGGTTTAGAGAAAAATCTTTCTACAAATCTGCTCAGCTTTTTCATTCCTGTACCGTGAGAGTGTCTGTTCCTCTGATTCCTGGTCCTGTGCCAGAGCACCTCTGCTGTGATCAGTGCAGCTCCTGCTGGGATCTCTGGCTGTCCCTCAAGCAGCATCACTGCACACTGTTGGGTCATGAGTATAATGAGCAAATCACATCTGATGAAACATCTCCTGTTCAAGGGTTTTAAAGCACTACTTGAAAGGAAGTGTTATTAACCACACTGTAAACAAACCTGCCTGTCTGTAGGAGGAATGAGCAAGGGTAAAGCCCTGCCATGAGGCAGGGACAGAGCTTGCACTAGACTAGTCTTGCCATTTTTATCTTCTTTGCTATTTATTATTGACAGAGATGACAGGTCTGCTTGACCATGGTTCTCCTTGCCCCCTCACAGCAGACAAGAGTTCATTTCTGCTCAGAGTGGAACCATTAATGTTTGTAAGGTGATAATGTTTGTAACTATTGGCCTGACAAAATGATTAGAAGCAGAAAAATACACACCTGAGCTTGCAAATTACTGTGACTTATTTTGCAGGTCTGGGGTAGAGGCCAGTCTGTTTTCTTCTCATGTGTTTCCTAGCCTGGGGTGAATCCTTTCTAGTCCTATAAGAGACTTATGCAGGGAAAATGAGCATTTTTAGAAACTTTATTTGTTCTTCTCTAAAATACAAATTCCAGGGAGAAAACTGATTCCATGAATTTTAGCAACTGCACTCTACTAAAAACATTATTTTTCTACATTATAGAGCATTGTACAACATAAATACTTACTCAGAAATCACCTGGTTAAACAAAAACCGCCTTCATTCTTTCCTGAGGTAAATGAGCCCTGTGCCACTGGATTCCCCAGGTTCACTGCCTGTTTATATAGCCACAGCTTCCCATTAGGACCAGGAAGGAGGAGGTTGTACAAGGCTTTCTCCAAGGAATAGGAGTGTTTCTGCATTCTGATTGTCCTTGTCTGAAATTTTATAGTTTCATTCTCAGGCCACGTGAAAAAGGATTCCAGGTTGCAGTACAAGTTCTGCCTATGCAGAGCCCAGAGGATCAGGTTGAAGTTTCTGTTGTTTCCCTGTCAATGGAGATGTGATATAATGCTCACATGGAAATGTCATTCCTCCCTTCTCTGAAACCCCCCCCTGTGTAACTGAACCCTTCCAGACTCCCAGAGCACTGCTGTTGCAAGGTAACTCCACCACTAGAATTTCCCACTGGGGCTATGTTAAATTTTTGAAATTATTTCAAAGGTGGCAGTTTGGCCTTTGCTGAATAGAACTGTTGATTTTGTTCCTCCTGATGAAAAACTTCTAAAGACAGCGAGGAATTAAGATGTGACCTATGCTAAAATTACTATATTGTTATGTTGCTCTATTTTTAGCAAATCTGATATATCATCCCCCTGAACTAGAAGCTGAAAGTTAAATTTCTGTCTCAAACAACCAAGGACACATCCTGGACAATCAGAGATAGGTTCTTGTTGGGGCTCCTTTTCTTAACAGTTGCTGCTTGTGTACCTGCTCTGCTCTTGCTGCTTTTTTTGGTGAGCAAATTAAAGCATGAATTTCCAAGCTCCTGAGGAGTCTGAGCTGTTGGTCTGCAGTGCCTGCTCAGGAGGAGACTGAGCAGCCAGGCAGTCGGGGGCTTGGTGCCTGCAAACCCAAAACACAGGTGTTAGGGCTAATTTTAGGGTTTCTCTAGTCTTGATGCTTGCCCCATGTTCCAGCAAGCTGTTTGTAAGCCATAAGAATTCCCAAGCATGTCCCTGAATTACAGTGGGAATGTTAATGTGACCTTTCTCTAAAATTGTATTTATAGAGGCCTCTGAAATAATGAGAGACATTGGGACAGCCATCCAGTACCTGCACTCCATGAACATTGCACACAGAGACGTCAAGGTGAGGCCTCAAGGTGTGTGGGCCGGGGAACAGAACTTATGGCAGGAAAAATTCTGGGCAGCAGTGATTTTAACAGAACTGGGAGTGCAGTCAGATGGCCAAAGTGTCCCTGTTCCTCTGCCAGTGTGAGAAAGGATTTGCTCACTAGTTTGCAACTAGTCCAAGGTTGGAATATTCATGTGTGCTAATGCCTTCCAGTTGTGTACGGAATGCAGAAAAATCTCATGATAGTCAGATGCTTAGTTAAAGAGGTACTGCCCACTTGCAATCCATTAATTAGCAAGAAAATAGCACTCCTTCAAGTGAATATATAACTCATAGATGCCTCTAGGTACAGTCTTTGCCAGTTATTAGTTGCTTTCAGCATCATACTTGTGTTAAAAAAAATAAACCAAACCAAACAGCAAAACCCCCTTCAGAAAAAGGGGAAACTTCTGGGAGGAATAATATCAATTTCATGCACTTAACCTACTTCAATAAGTGTGTGAATATTTGGGAAAACAAGGAGATGTCAGTTACTGCCAGTGTTTAATGAGGTAAAGCTTGAACCCCAATCTCGTTGTGGGGCTTTGACAGAGTTTGTAGGGCTGTATTTTGTGTTCATGCTCTGGTGTGCACAGCACAAGCAAAGCTGAGCTCGCTGCACCCTGGCATTTCCAGTGCAGAGACACAGCAGGGGATGGAATGTGCAGGACAGCAGGGCTTGTAATGATACTGAGGCATCAGATCAATTCCACAGCTCTGAGCTGGTGGATTTTCTACAGATGTTTGTGTGGTTAGCTGGAGGGAGAGCTGACACATCATGGTGTCACCAGGGGGTAAACTGGGAAACAAGTTGAACTAATTGGAAATAATGGAAATACCCTGTTGTCCCTATTCTTGGGCACAAGAGCTTGTATTTCCCTCTGTGCCACTTCTGTCTGTATGGAGTATGGAGCAAGAGTGGAATTAACTCAGGTTTCAGGAGACAGAGGAGGGGGGCAGCAAAGGGACTGTGTCTGTGTCAGTTAATTTTGATGGAGCTGTGTCAGTTGCTCATGGGGGCTTTGGCTGAGGATTTCCCTTGTCCTGCCCCTCGGTGCTTGAGGCACAGTGTGATGTCAGATCAGCTGCTGTCACCACACAGATCAGTCCCAGGAAGTGCAGGGAACTGGGAGAGGTTCAAGAAGCCAGACTGGATGCCCATTGAACAGGGTTTTGTGGTTTTATCTCCCAAATAACCTTGCTAAGAAGGATGTTGATGCTTAGTCTGAGGAAAAGTGCTGCCTGTTGGGAGGGAACTGTCTGTGTGTTTGGTGGGGTTGTGACAGAAGTAAGAAGACCTAAATGGTGGGTGGGTTTGACCTGTCAGCTCATTAGAGACATCTCTTCATTGTCCTGTTTATCCTCTTTTGGTGGCCTTTCAGCCTGAAAACCTGCTTTACACATCTAAAGACAAAGATACTGTGCTCAAACTCACAGACTTCGGCTTTGCCAAAGAAACCACTGTAAATGCACTGCAGACCCCCTGTTACACTCCTTATTATGTGGGTGAGTTATCCAAGGCACATTTCTTCTGTGTTTCAGTCATTCCTTCCCTTGCAGTGGGTGGGAAATCTTCTATTCTGGATGTAATGTGAAGTGTTAGCCTCCAGGATTTAAACTGGGATCCAATCCAAACCTAAAGTCTGGTTCCAGTACAGTTCAATGCTCCTGCTTTCTGCCTTGGTGGCAGAGGAAAATGCCTTCACAGGAGATAGAAATGAAGGGGAGAGAGAGAGAGAGGTAATTCCTTCTGATTACACATGAAGTAATCCTGATGTTTCCTCTAAATGATGCAATAAAAGCCATTATTTGAATTGAGCTTTGTGATATTTGAGTATTTGTGTGCTAAACTTCCCATAGCTTAAATTAAAGCAATAAGAGAGAAGACTATTGCCTCAGCTGTAAAACTTCTTTAAGTGGCAAATTGAGGAATTGGTAATAAAGAACCGACATGACTTAATCACAGCAGAATTTTTCCTTCATTTTGTCCCAAGTTGAAGCACTGTGTAATGAATGCCACAGCAGACTGTCCTTCATGCACTCATTTTAGTCTTGAGTTAATAGTCATTCATCATATGGTTTGACTGGGGCACTCCATGCTTGGAATTTCTTAGCTGGAAAAAGGACTTAATTTGTTTGAAAAAATTACTTCTCTGATAAAAGTTTGTGTAGTTTTCTGTATTGAAAGAGACTTATTCACTGGGAGCAGATAATCACATTAGCAATACTCTTTTTTTGATGCCTTCTTCTGTATTTTTGTGAGCTGGGTTTAGTGATAAAATGTTAAGGAGTTTACACATGTATGTTTTTATGCCTTTATATTTGTGTATAAACAAGCTGACATTTCCCTTCTCAACACCTTTTTATAAACCAGCATGATTGCTCATATGTTTAAAGAATAATTTTCCTTACAAAATCGAGCTCCCTGGCAGTTTACCTGCCCCAGGGGACAAAAAAAAATTCCCCTCTAAATGTATCTCTGTCTAATTTTGTTACTTAGTGGAAAAAATATAATGCTCTGGAGGCCAAAGAAAAATACAGTGCCCTGTAGCTGCTGGAGCTAAACACACCACTCAGGTATCATTCAAAATTTTATCACAGCTCCAGTAGGGCCTTTCTATTCTGACTGCTGGAACATATGCTCCTGCCTCTTTCGGTGCAGTGTCTCCCTGCACACATTTAGCTGCAGCTCCTTCTGCTTTTTGGTAATCTTAGTACTCCCTTGAGCAGAGAGACACCAAGGTGAGGAGTAGGGCATTTTTCCAGCTCTGTTACTCCTTTTTAAAGCTACTTTAGATGCCTTTAGGAACTTGTCAATTGAAAGTGCTACCCAGTTCCTGCAGTGAGTTGTGTTTTTTTAATGCCTCTGATACCTGTTGTTGAAGTGTGCTGCTACTTACAAAGCGATGGAGATGAAGAGAAATACCTGGTACTCTATTTACTTGTGGTTTTAATCTTCCCCAGCCCCAGAAGTCCTTGGTCCTGAGAAGTATGACAAATCATGTGACATGTGGTCATTGGGTGTCATCACATATATTCTGTAAGTATTTGGGAAGGAACTTGGTGAACAGGAAGAGAACACAACTTGTTAAATCTGCACTCACAAGTAATTGTTCACTGGGATCCTGCAGCCTGCAGTAGAATATAAGCTTGAATAAAACTTTTTAAATGGTGAAAGGACTCCCCTAGTTATGAAAATTTTTTTGTCCCCTCTTACAGCCTGTGTGGGTTCCCTCCATTCTATTCCAACACCGGTCAAGCCATTTCTCCAGGGATGAAGAGAAGAATTCGGATGGGGCAATATGGATTTCCCAATCCAGAGTGGGCTGAAGTATCAGAGGAAGGTAGAAATCTTCCCTGGTGCTGATGAGTGTGCGCATGGTGGTGTGCAGTGCTGCAGTGCTTACAAAGAGACTATTTCTAAAAATCTGTCTGAGCTTTTGTTTCCCTTTCTTCTACAGTTTAAATCAATTTTTTGTAAGGTGCTGCAGAGGATGACTGGGAACTCAGATACCAGCCAGCAACCTCTGTGCTAGAAAAAGTAAATGACTACTGAAAACCTTCTTTCAAAATCCAGCTAGTGCTAGTGAATGCTGATATTAAACCCTCTTGAAACAGAAGTCTCTAATCCCAAGAAAGGAGACAGCCTGGACAGCTCCAATGCAAGCTGAGCTGGAAGAAAAGCAAACTCTCTTAAGAATTTATTCAGTCTTTGCTCTCCTTGGTGATCCAGCCAGCAAGGATGGCAAGTTTTCATGCTAGCTTTTTGGGATGTGGGAATTTGCCAGACACCACTTAAATCAAGGTCAACAATTTATTTTGTATAAGTCATTGATCAAAAGCTGCTGGGCTCAAATCAGTGTCCTGAAAGTGGGTATTTTTGATTCCCTCTTATCCTGACAGTCTCATAAGCTGGAAGTCTTACCTGCCTGTCATATTAAAGAAAAGGGTCAGCAATATCTGGGCTTATCTGTTTTTCTTACAAGACCTTTATATTGCTGTGATCCTGGTTTTGTCTGCTGTTTAGCAGTAACAAATTATCCTTGGACCCTGCTGGGCTCTGTGGCATCTTTACCCCTCACTGGATCCTGTGGCTGTGTGCAGCACAGCCTGCTGAACATTGATGAGGGAGATGTTTTAGTCATGGGTTTCTGGCTAAATATTTTCTCTGCTTTGGGTCTTGTTCATATTCCAGCAGTTAAAAACAGGCTAGAGGAGCACTTGGACTGTGGGCTGGGTTTCTGTATGCTTGCATGGATGGAGATAGGGGCCCTCTACCTTCCATCCTGTTAAGATATCTCATCTGTGGGTGCTCTTTAGGCTGATGAGACACCTTTAGCAGGTTGCTGCTTTTTTTCCCTGTGTTGTGCTGTCCTTGTCCTTTGCAGCCTCTCTCAACAAATTAAACTTGTACCTCTGGCAACTTCTTACAAGCGTTTAGTCATCTTGCATGTGATGTTCCTAAAAGAGAACTCTTATTTAGAAGTTCTTATAGGTTTTCTAAGGAAATTTTGTGTAAGTCCTTCTAAATAACTTCCTTTGGATGCAGTGTTTCCAGTCTGTCCACCCACATTAATGGAGCTCTGGTCTAGCCTCTCACCATCTCATATGTCAGTTATTAGTGCTCTTGCTTTGGCAAATCCCGTGTTCACAGAAAGCTGCTGCAAAGCCAGTTTGTGTAATCCATTTATTTGACTTTTTTTGTCTTTTTAGTGGCCTCTCAGTTGTCAAAGTTGTTGTCCCTTTTTTCCACAGCCTGTGCTAGTTGCTGTCCTCCATCATTTCTCAAAGCATCAGCTTATGTATTCATTCAGCCCATAACGCCCAGCTTGTTGCCATCTTTGAGGCAGGCAGCTTAGCAGCTTTCTGTCCCTGTGCTTCTCTTTTCCTCCAGCTGTTGCTCTCAGAGTAGTTGGTTTGGTGATGTAGAGAGCATAGCTGAAATTCCCAGTCTTTTCTTTCCTTCTTGCTTCTTGTTTTGGGTGTTTTCCTGTTTTGCCCCTTTAAACACAGTAACCTGCCCCACTGTACGTGGCTTCTTAACATGGTCACAGCAATTGGGAGGTGTTTTCAGGTCTGCAAAATTGTGTTTCTTCATTCAGCAGGTCCTTGTGTTCCCAAGGTTATTTGGGAATGCAGTCCTAGACTACACCATGCCCTATTGGTTCTGTTTTTCAGCCAAACAACTCATTCGCCATTTACTGAAGACTGACCCAACAGAGAGGATGACAGTCTCTCAGTTTATGAATCACCCTTGGATTAATGTGAGTCTTAGATCTCTTTTTACACCACAAATTGATTCTTACATGCAGAACTTGGGTATAGCTCCACACAGCACAGCAAGAGAAAGGCTGTTATTACTGCCAGTCCCTTAATTAACCTCTTGTGCCCTCCACAGAGGGTCACCTGCCCATAAAACCACAATTCTTCTTGCTGTTAGCAGAGGACACACAAGGGGAGACACCCACAGTGGTGTCCTTGGAAGCAACAGCCAAAAATGTCTCTATATTCTGTGAGCAGGCAGTCTCTGTTGACTCTGCAGCATATGCATGTGTTACTCTCTTTAAAAATATAAAAATAAACTCTGTGTGCTTACTTCATCAGTGCAGGATTTAAAGAGCTATTATTAGTGGTCTCAGGCACCATTGTGCATAGCTGTGTTAGGGTGAACATGCTCTTGTGCTCAGTGGGAATTCTCATCCTTGCCAGAGTTTGGAAATGCATGGGGGAGGAGCAAGGGTCTCTTATTGCCATGTGAGAGATTGCCAGGTAGGGTGGTACACAGAGCTATTAATGGTCCCAGTTCAGGTTTCATTCTATGGCTTGGTTGAATTTACTTCTCCTTAAAAGAATTTTTTCAGGGAAAAAAAGAAAAAAATACTTTATGAATACAATATGGACTATTTCAAATAAGAGACACAAATCCCAGAAGTTACAAGACTGAATTTCTTGATACCATCTCTGCTCTGTAGGTGTCCCTCAAAATAGTAGGTTGTACTTCTCACATTTGTGTCTAAAAAAATACCAGTCTTGTTCTTGCTGCCCAAAGAAGCACCAGCCAGGAACAGAATCATTTCTGCTGTAGAATTCCCTTTGTTCCCACAGTGCTGGTGTGTCTGTGCTGATCCTCAAAGGATGGGGCAGAAGCAGAGGTGTGGCTGATTGTCCCCGTTCCTACAATGCCTGCTGCAGGATCTGCAAGCCCTTGGAATCAAGTGAAATGCAGCTGTAGGACATCTTGATGAAGTAGAAAGGTGGTGTCATTAAGAGTTGAGAAACTGAGATTGTAAAGACTCTGTAGAACAGACCCCAGACAATGTTTCTGAGTATTTTTTAACCAAATAAAAATGTAATCACTGCTCAGAATAAATACCTCCAGGTTTGAGTGTCTGAAGCCCCAAGAAAGTGTTTCAGAAGTCAGCAGGTGAGGAATTTCATGGAGTGAGTGCCTAATAGCTAAGGAAGCTGCCACCTACAGTGACACTTGTTACTTGGAATATGCACAGAGCCAATTAATGAGGAGATTAGAGGCAAGGTCTGCAGACTCTCCTGCACCTGCTCCAACTGGAGCCCTGCTCCAATACCCTTCCTGGAAGAAAGCTGCAGGTTGGCTTTCTTTTCTGCTGAACCTATTGCTCACAGGGGCAGAGGGAGGGAGAGGGAAAGACCAATACAGTGAATGTCTGTGTTCTCCCTTTTCCTAAATCCCAAAGTGGAAACATGTCTGGGGAGCTGCACAAGCAGCGGAGGAGGGTGCTTGTGTCTCCTTTTTTTTTTTTCTTTCCCCTCTTTTTTTTTTTTTTTTTTTTTTTTTTTTTTTGAGAGGGATGACAGAAGTGTTTTACTGTGAAGTAGGCAAAACTGTCAGTTCAGGTGGAGCACAGACTCACTTAGTTCCTTGTCTATAAGTTGTTTTTTTTTTTAACAAGCAGCAGCTCACAGCAAAAAGGCACCTTCCACAGGGAAGCAGGGACAAGGACACCACTGAAACCAGTCTGCTTGTTTTCCATTTCTCTTGTCCCAGCTGTGCTTGATAAAACTGTACCCTGGCCAGCTGGGGTGCTTGTCCACAGGATGCAGGAGTCAGGATTTCTGCTTCACTTCTGTGATTGCTGCACTGCTGCTCTGAGCCCAGGGGAACATAAGCACTGGTTCCAGTGTAAGGTTTGTTTTACAGGGATCTCTTTAGACTTTGTTGACATGCAGCTGTAGGATGCCACAGCAGCAAACAGCAAGTTTGGGTAGAAAGCATAAGGAAAATAGAGTATCCAAGTGAAATTATAGTTTGGGTTATGGACTGGCAAGAATTGCCATGATTCTTGCTGAGTTCAGCCAGGGAACTGTGCTTCATGCTTTAGAAATTGTCCCTTGTTCTAATGTAAAGTATCTCCTGATCTTTCATGGCAGGTGAGCAGAGATCTCAGTTTCATGTGGATGCACTGTCTTCTGAGCTGTGCCTTCCTCAGAACAATTGTGTCATTTCCTCTTTGGGGCTCACTTAGTCTGATGAAATAGTATCTCAGTTAATGCATACTGCAAGAAAATGTCTCCTACAACAAATCCTAGGAGATAAAGGTCAAATTAACCACTTTAAGATAGTGGCTAATGAATAGTGAAATGACAGTTAAAATCTAAAACATACATAAAAATTTATCCAACACTGGTTGGATAAATTGTTCGGACTGGAAGGGAATAGAGTGAAAGAAGCTCAGCACTGATTTCTCTCTCTTTTTGTTCTTTAAATGTTGTGTGGGGAATGTAGTCCTGTTCTCCTACACATGAATTCATTTGTGGAGTGATTGGAAGCAGGAATAATGAGGGCCATTGGAAGACATTAGATCAAGTTTTATGCCCTTCATTCACAGAGAAGAGCAAGAAATCACTTCCCAAATGTAGTTTTTCAGAACTTCTTTTGGTATTTTTCTTTTTTCTCAGAGATCAATGTCAGTGCCACCTACTCCTCTTCACACTGCACGGGTCCTGCAAGAGGATAAAGACCACTGGGATGAAGTTAAAGTGAGTCAATCCAAATTCAGATTTCTTTAAGTCAAGTGTGATAGGAGATGAAATGTGCTGCCTTGGATACTGTGGCTATTTTGAATACAATCATGTCAAACAAGAGTGGCATAAACAGTCTTGGTTAGAACAGTAGTGTATATGAGAACTGTTTTAAAAAAGAAGGAATGCTGTTTGAGCTTCACTGGGAGCCTTACAGCTGCACCAGATATCAGCAATGATGGTGTTTATGATCAAAGGATGAATGATGCTCCTGCTGAGCCACTGCATGTACCCAGGGAGGAGAAGGACAGTGTTGGGGCAGTTTGAACTTCATTACAGTGAGGAATGTGATGAAAACATAGGGGGACAGGTGGGAGGGCTGAGCTGCATTCTGGTTTTCTGCAGTGCTTTTGAATTGTGGAACAACACTGAATAACCTTAGTTTGTCTTGTTATGACATTTGGCGGGGGGAAGAGGAGAGAAAAAAGAATTATCTTAATCTAAGCAGGTGCCTCACCTACTGTGTGTACCAATGACTGCTGAATGCTTCCTGCAAAGTGAAGCTGTAGGGCACATTGAAAGTCTTAACTCTTTCCTGCTGGCCTTTAACACGCTGGCATGCTTTTACAATTAATTCTGAATTTTCTGCACTTCAAATTTCTAGAATTTTGATAAGTTATACATTCCTGTAGTGTATTTTATTGATTACTGATTTTATTTAAATCACTGATATGTAGTCTCAGCTGTTGAGCTATGTAATGGTAAAACTTTTTAGGACCTAGGCAACATTTGCCTTCTGAGTCAGAGATCAAGCAGATATTTTCACTTAGCAGCCTTATTTTCCATGTTTCTGAGAATTTCTTATGCTTGTGCTTATGTGTAGGTCCCAGAGGTATTCCCTCGAGCTACCAACACACCCATGATATTGAATTGTTTTTCCTTTCCTGAGCCAAATGCTTAGACATTTGTTTACTTAAACAGACTTTTCTTTACAACCTTATTAAAAAGTTTAAAATGTTCCTGTACTTAAGCATTAATTCAAACTGAGGAGGTGTGTGAATTTGAAGCACATACTTTTAAAGATCTTTGTGTGGAGGCGCAGAGCCAGCCAGGGAGAAATGCTGGGTGTAGGGACACGTGGAATTTAGGCCAGCAGAGCGTGGTCCTGTGTGCTCACCGGGAAATGCTGTGGGAACAGCTCCTGCTGCCTGAGGCCCTGGTGGAAGGAGCCCCCAGTGAAGTGCTTGGCTCCTGGTGCAGTGCACAGAGAGGGCTCAGCTCTTGCTGGCCAGGGGCTGACAGAGGGCTCCTTGTGTCCCTCCTCTCCAGGCTCTAGGGTGGGGTGGCTGTGGGCTCGCTGCCTCAGGGGCTTCACTACATTGCTTGCTTGCTTTCAGGAGGAGATGACCAGTGCTCTGGCTACCATGAGGGTGGACTATGATCAGGTGAAAATCAAAGACTTGAAAACGTCCAACAACCGCCTCCTGAACAAGCGGCGCAAGAAGCAGAAGCAGGCGGGCGCCTCCTCTGCGGCCCCGGGCTGCAACAACCAGTGAGGGCAGAAGCCAGAGGGACCTGTGGGTGGAGGGTAAAAGTTAAACAGAGCAATTTAAAATCATGTGATCGCCTCAGTCCACACCACAAAGGCAATGAGACCGTCAAGATGCTATCCTGCAAAGAGGGAGCAGTGTGATAATGTTTTGATAACTTGAATCACTTTTGAAGACTAATGGATCTGACATGATTCTGTTGCATATTGCAAGGGAAGGTACAGTAATGCCAGAAATGTTACAGGTTTTTGGTTTGGCTTTAGCTGTGTAGGACAAGAAGAGAGAACAGGAGGCAGTCTCAGCACATTAATGCACTGAGGCTTTAACAGCCATCTACAAGAGTAACTTCTGCTGCTGTTTTAAACTGGGGAATAGGAAAGTGCCAAGTGTTCTGCTAAGAGTGTTTTAGTAGTTTAGTAGAATTGGTAATAGTCTGTATTTCCCAACTTACCTCCTATAGTTACAGAATATCACCTAAACTGTAAACAGATATTCTTGTTACAGGAAAAAAAGCATCCATACATTTCCATTTCCATAAAGTCTTCTGTGTAGCCTCATGTGACAATTTGAGTTCGTCATGGATTCCCATTTGATAACATGTAAATTTTCTGAGCTGTAGCCACTGTGTTGTATCTTTGCCACTGTCAGACCCCTCTCCTGTAATGTTTTCAATTTAACTGGTACTTTATGTGAAGAGTTTCAGTCAGGATTTAAGTAGTTGAAAGTATCCTGCAGAGAATATTGCTGTTCCCCTTGGATCCAGAACATCCAGGGTGTGCAGCTGGACATGCGAGGGATTGCTTTAGAAGAGAGACTTCTGAAATTCGGGGGAAAAGTGGCAAATGCATGTTCTCTGAATGGACCTTGGAATCTACCAGCATCCTTTCTGGTAATTATCTCCAGATCCTGTGCTTAAGATGTGCTGATCACAGCAAATTGTGGGGTGTTGGGGTTGGTTTGTTTCCTGGGGTCAGGAGTGGGGAGGATGATACTTTATTTGTGGTGATTTAGTGGTGTTTCAGGATCCAAAGATTTTCGCTGCTGAAGGAAGATTACTTTCAAGCACATCCACCCATTGTTTTTTTCCTATTTTAATTCTTGTAATTTAATGGGAACCTGACCTTGGTTTGCTGGTATGTTTTCTTTTGTGATCAAAATATTTTCTCTCACTGTATTTTGGGGTTTGGCTTTATTTTTAGTTTAGGTGAAGCAAATATTTGTGAAAGTGTTATCAGAGTCTGGGATGAATATGATGTGCTTCCAGTCAGGCAGGCAAATACACCTTTGAGGTAGGCACACAGTACTGGTGTGTTAATAGGCTTGCAAGAGTGTAAAAAAACAAAAAGGAAAACAGGGCTCCAGAGTGTATCTGAATTGTCAGATCAGAGTCACACACAGCAAAGCTCAGCTCAAGGCTTTGGACCTTGTCTGGGGAGCCCAGTTCCCATCTTCAGTGCTGAGTGAGACCTCAATTCTCCTTTGTGAACTGGTCCTAGGGTTTTGTAACATGATTTATTAAAATCAGTTTTTAGCATTCCTTCCTTCTGTCATCCCTGTTTTTGTTGAGTTGTTGCAGAGTTTGCATTGCTTTGCAAGATACATTGTGTTGAAGGTGACAGGGAAGGGGAGAAGGAAAGTGTTCCATGATGTCCACATTTAAAGGCTGCCCAACTTTGAACATTTTATAAGATCACAACGTTTTGGTATTAAATATCCATCTCTGTAAAGTTGTGTTTTAAAATTAATTCATGTTTCAGGTATCTGTGATTATAGCATGTCCTGTATGTTTTTGTTTTGCCATATTACTCCAATGAATTATGCAAATAATTCACTACTGGCAAAAGAGTTGTGATGTGTTCAGGATGCAACAGTTGGAATTAGGGCCAGGTCCAAGTTTCTGTCCCTTTATCTAATTATTTTGAGGGAGGTGTGTACATGATTGCTGCCATTCCATCTCTGTGCCCCTTTGGGGTGATGGATGTTCCCAGGGCAAGCAGTGTGTAGTGCACTGTCCTGTCTGTCTCAGGGGCAGTGCCACTGAAACTTGCAAATCAACTTTTTTTCCTCTGCCTTGGCCAAGGTTTGAGCAGGAGCTCTCAGTTCCCACCTGGTACCTCCTGGCTTGTCAGTTCAGTCTGGAGCTCAAAGATGAGTCTGTTCCTGGGTGGTTTTTTGTAAAAAAACTGTAAAACATACCTGGGCCTAATTCCTTCCTGTGGGGTCCCAGTATTTACTGCAGTTCAGAAGCTGGAACTGAGGCACTTGGCACAGCACCTTCAGTTTTGTGTCCCTGTGTAGCAGGACAGTCCCATCTCATTAAACTCAGATTAACAGTTCTTGCCTTCTACCCTGCAGCAACAGCACCCAGGAATGCTGTAAAGCCCTGCACGAACCAGAGGAGGGCCTCAAAATGGCAGACATGGAAGTGTATGCAAGTATTGGACAGAAGGGTTTGTGTTTATTGCACAGAGGGAAGGAGGAGACTCCTTGGGAGCTGGGAAACAACTGCTCTGCAATGTTTGGAGCCTCGAACTGCTGCCCTGCTCCAGGCACTGCTGCCTTCTGCAGCCCAGTGGAGCAGGACAGCTCATGTTTTACCTGGCTCTGTGTCACCTGGAGCTGGGAGGGGCTGCCAGGGACCAGATTTGGGGTGCAGGCATTTGCCCAGCAGGGTCTGTGTGCTCCATGGAGATGTAGGGATGTACAGAGCACCCGATGGACTCTGCTCCACCCGGCCCCGCCGCACCATCGCTCCCCTGCCCTGCTGGCTCTGAGAGCTCCCCAAAACCAGCCTGCCCTCAGCTCCCCAAAACCAGCCTGCCCTCGGCTCCCCAAAACCAACCTGCCCTCAGCTCCCCAAATCTGAGCCTGCCCTCAGCTCCCCAAATCTGAGCCTGCCCTCAGCTCCCCAAATGTGAGCCTGCCCTCAGCTCCCCACACCCTGCAGTATCTCAGGCTTGCTCTGAGTGCATGGCTCTGCAGAAGGTGTTGTCCCTCTGTCTGCCAGCAAGGCTCGGGGAGAACCCTCCTCCTCCCTGCATTCACACACGTTATAAAGGGCTCTGGTGAGCTCCTGGTGGTGTTTGGCCTCTTCCCTCAGCCATGTCATATAATAGGCTTTTTAGAACCTGCTGCTCAGGATCCAAATTTATAGCCTGTTTTTAGAAAGGATAGGCTATTACAGAACTGATTATGCATTTGCATATTCATCAGCCATATAGAGGAGGTAAAGAGCTGGGAAGGGACAGAAGAAATGAATGGTCAATAGAGAAGGCTTCAAGGAGAGCACAGATTAAAAGGTCTATTTATTTTTTACAGCAGAAGCTAAAAAAAGGACTGTGCACAATTCCCCACCCCCATCTCTTTTCACAGCGATTGCTCATGGGCCGCTGCCTCCCCTTGTGTTTCTCTGCACCGTGCTCCTCACACACGTGGTTCATGGGCTCTCACCAGGGCTCTTGCTCTCATCCACACACAGATGTGTACCCAGGCACCCAGGAAATTCCCTCCCTCACTTTCCCAGCTTTTGCACTACACACTTTCTTACCTCTTTGACCACATGTGGCACATGGTGAACCTGGGTTTGACAACTAAAAAAATACATTAATGATAAGCTCTTGGCCTAATTCTGTGTTTTTCTATTTGTCAAAACCCAGCATGCAGTCCTGGGCATTAACACTTCACTGCCTTGAGTCTGGAGGCCCAATTACATAAGTGCTTCTGACTTGTCTGACATGAGGGATAATGAGAATGCTACATACTCAGTTTGATCTAATTTCCCTGTCCTCTTTTCAATTCACACTTTATTTGGCCCATGTTTAGACAGAGGTGCTTTTGAGAAGAGGAAGGTTTAGTGAGGAGGAGAGAGCCAAAGCTTTTAATTACTTGCAGGGAATCATGAGCACTTGTACTGTTTTAGACCTGTGGTCCAGGTGGGGAGGAGGTGTTAATGTGTGCTCAGCTGCTCTGATGTGTTCTCCTGCTTAGCCCAAGGATGGAGCCAGCTCAGCTAACAAACCTCAGGGACAAAGAGAAGAAAGCAAGCAGGGAACGAATTAACATGCAGGAAAACTCATTTTTTCTAAGAATACATTTTTTGGGGAGTTTTATTGTGGAAATATCAGAATTTTCTCTTTTTTAGGTTCTAATATTTCCCCTCTTCACCCAACTATTCTCAGTAGTGGAGCTGGCAAAGCTGGGAATGGACATGGTTAATTCTCCTTTAGAGAGCCTAAAAAGGATGAAGGCAATGAAGCAAACTTGAAAGGCAGAGCACACATACTCAAAACAAAAAAATCTTGTTAAAAATTCTTGCAAGCTAACAGGCAAGTCGTCATCTCCGTACTGAAATGCATCTCACCTGTGGAAAATAGAGGTTAGAGCAAATGTGGGTAATAACATTTGCTGAGGAAATGTTTCCCTGAAATCTTTGCACCAGGTAAGAAAATTCTTTTTGAGAATTAAGTCCAGCTTTAAAATAGGATTATTTATTTCCAGTTTGTGTGGTTAGAGGAATTTAATGGAGCAAAGGGGGCAGAAATGGGGGATGATATGTCATTTTGAAGAATAAGATAAGAAATGTCTGCTGTTGTATTCTACTCCAACTTTTTTACTGCAAGTGCTACCTCTGTACAGACATAGCAAGATAGATTCAACTCTTTATTAGTCTTTTTTAGCACTGGAGAAGGAGGATGTTGCTGCACTCTAGGGAAATGTGGAAGATAACCCTGTGACTGTAGATGAACATCTATTCTGGTAGATCTGTAAATGATGCCTAGCATTAAATTTATTTTTAAATTTCCTGCCTCATGAATTTGCCAGATGCCAAAGTCTCACAGGTCTGCTCTAACTGCATGAAGGCACAGAGACATCACTGTCAGTGGGTTTCCTCCTGCAATTTGGGACCACAAGAAGAAGTAGTTGCTGAAATGTACTGCAGTGGTTTGAGTTTCCAGGAGCCAAAAGAGGAAGAAGGTGTTTTTCAAATAGCTGGAGATGATGGACAGGGCCAGGCTCTCTTTTATCAGGGGAGGGGTATTCTAAAGGTATCTTGGCCTTGAGTTCAGTTCCCAGAGCTGCTGATAACAAACATGTTGTGGCTGAGTGGGGCTGCAGCCCTGGGGAAGTCTCTGCTGCTTTGGCACCACGCTGGGACCTTTCCCACTGTGAGCCAGAGAAATGCACTCATTGGGGTCAGGGTTGCAAACCATGGAGAATTCTTGGTCCTGGGGCTACACTGTAGCTGAATAATGCCAAAAAGTAGGAGCTGCATTGTTTGCTTCCATGTCTGGCTTCTGAGTGTGTCTGTTGAATTTTCCTGCCTCCAAGGTCCATCCCAGTACTGCCAGTGTAGCAGCTGTTTCTTCATTTGTTAACAGGGAGCACAAATGCTTCTTTTGGGGACTGCATTTTTTTCTCTGAATTGCAAAGCTGGAATGAAACTCTTAAACAGCATGGTTATTTTGTCTAATGTGTTCTCCCCAAACTTCCAGGCTAATCCATTTGGGAAACATGGAAGATGTTCCCAAGAGACTTCTTATTGCCTAGCTACTGAAGCACCTGCTAAAACTGAGCTCTTTTAAAAACTGAAAATTATTTAAATGTGAAAAAGAGTGGGTTGATCTGGAAAAAAACCTTCTCAAAATACTAAAATTAGAATGGAATGTGTTAGAAGAGAAATGGGGAAACTGGTGGGGGAGGAGGACTAAGGTTTTTTAAAAATAAAAATGCTACTGCTTGAGTAATGATCAAGGAGATTCTGGTTAGGATATTAGCTGCTGCTCCAACCCAGAGAAGTTCCTGGATTCAGAAATAATTATGTTTTCCTAAAGATAGATCTACAGTACAGACTCCAGGGTTTTTTTCTGAGTTAGTCTAAAGCAAGGATCATCTTAATCTTTATAAATTAAACTTTTCTGCAAATGCTGGTAGTGAATCAAATAAATAGAGCTTTTTTTTTTTTTTAGAGCAACTAATAACTGAATAAATAATCTTTGCAGATTAACTTCTGCTCTCCTAAAGTTGCCTGAGTAAGCTGCTTGCAGAAAGCTTGAAAGGTGAAGCTACCTTTCATTTTTGCTTTTGGAATTTTGCATTTCTATCTGCACTTTACCACTGCACATTTAACTTTTGTCTTGAATAAAATTCTAATTAGTTGTCCCAAGGCTACCATTCCATGGTGCAAGGTTTTTTCTCTTTTCTTGGCTCAATTGCAGTTGTACCACCACTTTTTTATTTCTGAACTCTTTGTGGTGTAAAGGATTGGAAGAGTTTCAAGGAATTCCATTACCTGGCAGGAAGCAAAAAACTTCATTGTCTCTAAAATAGTAAGAAGGAAAGTTCTAAGCAATGGCTAATTGCAAGAAAAATGACCCTCTGAGGGAAAGAGGAGATCTCTACAAAGAAATGCACTCAACTAAAAAGAGTAAAATGAGATGGTCTGGTTATTGTCCTTTTAAATCCTCTGATTTTTTTCTGCTCCTTGATTTCAATAGTTTGATGTATTTTATACTGCCTGGAAGTCATGAGTGCTTCCTTTAGAGAGACCTGACTGCAGTAGTTCGGCTTCTTCCCTAAACATAAAAAAAAAATCCTACAGAAGTATTATGCTGTAAGATATTTTAAATCTGAGTAGGAAGGAATTGCATTTCCTGATTTAAAGTGACTCAGCTCGGTCTGCCTCCTTCTTTCATAATAGATTCTCTGCATCCAGCTCAAACCTTGGCTGGCACTCGGGAGAGCTATCAGATGTTTTCTCCAATGATTTGTCATTCCTGCACAAAGTCAGTTTTTAAGCTGTTCCTTGTGGATCCTGGAACAGCAGTGATTAGCTCAGAAGGTGAAGCCTGTGTCACAAGGCATGTGCTGCTGTTCCTTGCAGCTTCTGTCAGCTCCCGTTGGACAGGACGTGCCTGGCCAACAGGAGCCCAGCAGTCAGTCATCGCTTTATTAATATTTGTTTTATAGTATCTGCAGCCACTCACACACATCAAACCTTATTTCCATAACCACAGTCCCACAAGAAGTGTTACTTTTTTTTGTGCAGAACCTTCATGGTGGTCACGTTCTGTACCAAGTAAATTAATTTCAAAGCACT